TATGGGTTAATGTTGGACTTGTGGGCTTGGGCAGCATTGGGTTGGGATGTTTTCGTGATGCACATTTTCTTTGCATAAAACTCTCTCTTATACGTGAGTTGCTGTGGATTTGTTTCTCCAAAGTACCTAGACTAATACACCCCTAGTCTATTTTGTTACGTCTTCTCTTATTGAGTAGGACAGGATAAAGCTTCTTATCACTGACTGTGTGCCAGCAGAGGCTAGATATAAAATAGAATTCAAAGAACTGGAATATATTTGGAATGGATAACAATTCAGACCCTTTAAGGAATACTAAACCCAACTCACAACCTTAGGCACGAGACTACTTGGCTTCAGGGATAAGGGAGATGGGGGCGAAGCCTTCAGGGACTCAGGTCACATTTGTCTTGGTCATTGCAACAGTCTTGTGAAGATGCTACAGGGCAAAGGGCAGGTTCAGGAGCCATCCAAAAGTTTTGAAAGACATTTTATGAGTAATACTGATTTTTTTAATCAGAGCCTATGCTTGGTTGGAGTGCCAATGAAAAAGAGGAAGGTTCTCAACAAGGTGGATTGCCATAATGGCCACAACAATGAGCTCAAACATAGCAAATGTGAGGATGGCGCAGGATGGGGTGGTGTTTCGTTCTGTGGTACATACGGTCTCTATGAGTTGGAACCAACTCGACAGAACTTAACAACAACGACCACCTGTTTGGTTGGACTACTAACTGCAAGACTGGTGGTGGTTCAAACCCACTAGCCGTTGCATGGGAGAAAGATGAGGCTCTCTGCTCCAGAAAAGATTTACAGGCTCAGAAACACAGTTGTTATGAGTCAGCATCGACTCTATCTCCATGGCAGTGGGGTGTTTGTTTGTTTGCTTTCGATGCTTGACAAATCCCTGTCTCCAAACTTTAATAAGAGTTTATCCATTTTCTAAAAGTGTCTGTAGCAATCATCCCCAGAGAGAAAGGTATTTGCTCTCTTACTTAGATTCTTCCAACCTATTTCCCCTTTCTTAGCTTTTAAAAGAAAGACTAAGCATGTTTCTGTTTGTTTGAAGGCTGTGATCAAGTTTCATCTTGGGCTTCTCCTTTCTAGGTTAAATAATCTTAGCTTCCTTGACTTTTCTTCTTTGCTTTAATTTCTAATCCTCTAAGTACTTTTAGAGCTCTCCTCTGAATACTTTCAAGTCTTCATCATCATCATCATCATCATCATCATCATCATCATCATCAAAAGGCATTTATTGCATGTCACCTGAGCAGAGCACCAGCGCAGGTTCTGGCTCTGCTAAATTCCAAAGCTCCAAGTGGGCCAGGGGAGTGCAGTCTGAGTGAGGTCAGGGCTAGTCCACTGTCTGTGTCTGTTACCCCAGTGCCAAGTCCATTGCTCAGATCCTCACTGGGATATTTGCTTTCTTGTGGTTGTATCCTGAGCCCAACTCCAAAAGTATTGTTGTGGAACAGCAAGAGACCTAGGATCTTATCTCAATTTCACCTTGAGCAAGTTACACAGCACTTTAAAAAATTATTCAGCAGAAACTGATTCTTTTTTATAAAACTGTCTTTTTAGAACAACATTTTCCTAAACCCAGCTTACCGTGGATCAATATACCAACAAGGCAATATGGC